GCTTAGGAGCTGCCTGACGAAAGTTTTGCCGAAGTTGCTCTGTTGAAAGTCCAAACTGCCGCAGAGCTAGCTGCTTGAAATATGAATAGTTCCTTGCTTGCTGGGGAGCAAGCTGTGCAAGTAACTCTGCAACCTCCCCATGCAAGCATCTGCGCAGAGCTGTGGCTTAGGAGCTGCCTGACGAAAGTTTTGCCGAAGTTGCTCTGTTGAAAGTCCAAACTGCCGCAGAGCTAGCTGCTTGAAATATGAATAGTTCCTTGCTTGCTGGGGAGCAAGCTGTGCAAGTAACTCTGCAACCTCCCCATGCAAGCATCTGCGCAGAGCTGCCATATATTCAGTGTCTGGCAAGTGATAATCCTGTGCTGAGGCTTCAAATAAAGCAAAAAAGGTTGCCACATCATCTCCAGGTCTTAACTCAGGGAACTTTAACTTTGTCCATCTGTCTCCTTGGTTGCCCATTAGATGCTGCTGCATCATATTCATCTGCTGCCCATTTTGCCCAAGGAGTTGGGTCATCAGAGTACATAACTGCTGCACTGGGTCAGCCAATTGCCCTTCCACTGGAGCCGCGTCTGCCTTCACCGCTGTATCTGCTCCCTTATCATTCTGTACTCCTGTTTGCCAGGCTTTCTCATCTGTTTTTGGTTGTGAGACCCTCCTCCTTAAGGCAACTTCATTATCATTACACTCCTCTAGAATTAGTCTCGTATCAAATGCTTTCTCAGGGGGGTATCTTTGAAAGAACTCTTCCTGATAGAAAAATCCTTCTAATCCTACTGAGGCCAGCACTGGGTCCATGTTATATAATATCCCTTCGGAATAATCCATGGATCAGCAGTTCTTCTTGATAGCCTTCTTTCACCTTTTGCCTGTTTGAACTTTAAGCTTCGAGCCAGCCCACCATGCCACCATGTATGACACAGGCTTCGGGTTCTCTATCAGGATACTTCAGGCTCCACAATCAGGCTTGGCAATTCAGGCAAAAAAGCTTTTATTATCGAAAGAACAAGAAAGGCAACCTCAATTAACAATGCTTTGAGGACAAAGAAAACGTCCTTCTGGGGGTTGCCAAAATACAAAAAAGTAATTAAAATAAACTGGAACTTACAATAACTCCACAAGGTAGGAAAACATCCTGCCCACCAAACGCGCGTTATCCTCTCCCCCACAACTCTTGCTATTTTATCTTTGGAAGGACCTGTTAAGACACTGCCCCTCCCTATCTCCAGTGCAGCTGTTAGTTAAAAGATCTCAGCTGTGCAGCTCTTGCCAGGCACCGGCCAGTTCCTGTAAAGACTTGCAAGGTTGATCCTCCCCCTTCTGCCGTCCTTCAGTTCTACTAAGTTGCTGTGTTACCGATAGGTTGGTGTCTTCCTTACAAAAGCTAAGCAGGATTGTGACATGGAGGCAGGCAAGCACAAACCACCTCTGAATGTCTATTGCCTTGAAAACCCTGTGGGGTCACCATAAGTCAGCTGTGACTCGACAGCCAAAAAATTTAAACAAGAAATATGCCATTTAACCTCCATGTGATTCATAACTATTTTCCCACCCCTTCTTTGGTAATAATTGGAGGCAACTATTTGAATGAATGCATGTTTATTTGCAGTTGGTTTATTTGTTTATTTATTTGCAGTTGGTTTATTTTGATATTATGATGCCTCCAATACTCCAATAAAATATTCTTAAGGCTGCAGAAGTGGATGCCATCAGACGTAATGGGGGGCGGGGGTAAGAGAAGCAGCAAAGTGCAGCAGAGCAGAAACTTCTGTTCCCCCAGGAGAGTCTTTTTTGTTTTCATTTTTGTGCATTTCACTCACTCTGATTTTCTGGTAGCAGTCTGGTACAACTCTGATGAATTGTAGTGCAAATAGAAGGACAAGAAAAATGTGGACTTGTGTGAACATTGATGCACCATAAAGCACAGTAATGATCCTGTTGTTGCTACTTGCTCGTAACTTTATAATAGGTAGTGTTCTTCCTCAGTCCTGTAGGCCTCTTAAATATTTCAAAGCTGTTGTAGTGATAACCTGACATAAAAATAGAAAAGCATATAGGAAGTCAAAGATGTCATTTTCTCCCCCACTCTTCTCTCTAGAGCACTTTGAAAATGGTGAATGTGCAGGCTCTGCCAGATAAAGGGGAACGATTATTAAAGCAAGTGCAAGAGCTGGAAGCTGCACTTAGTTCTCTTAACCTGGAGACGGAAGAAGATGCAAAGGAAGGTGGGCTTATTCAGAATTTAGAGGCCATTGGCCATACAGCAAAGACAGTGTTTTTTTCTTTCTTTAGAACACTCAGAAATATTTCTTTGATTCTAAATCACTCTTTCACTGTCCAAAATGTTACAGCGTATCTCCTTTTAATGTGTGTTGGAGCCAGTTAAAACACATACAGATAGCAGATGATAACATCCCCTCTTGGGAAGTACCTTTCAGAGACAGTTTGGTGTAGTGGTTAGGAGCACGGACTCTAATCTGGGAGAACCGGATTTGATTCCCCACTCCTCCACATGCAGCTGCTGATGTGATGTTGGGTCAGGTCCTAAGTTCTTTCAGAGCTGTTCTCTCAAGAGCAGTTCTCAAAAGAGCTCTCTCAGCCCCACCTGCCTCACAGGGTGTCTGTTGTGGGGAGTGGAAAGGAAAGGAGATTGTAAACGGCTCTGAGTGCTTTGGGTAGTGAAGGGTGGGTATAAATCCAATCCCTTCTTCTTTTAGCCTGTCATTGGGGTCTGTTACCTGGAATGCCAGCAGTACATGTGAACACTCGTTCACAAATGTATCTCCAAATTCCCAGGTCAAGGAACCATTGCTCTGTGGTGGAAAGGCCATGAACATGGGCAATGCCTGGGGTAGGGATTTGGAATAGCAGACAGTGAGGGAGACAGTATTTTATTGTATATAAACATAACAGAATGAAAAGCAGGAAAATTCAGGTAGATTATAAGAGCCATGTAAAATGTTAAATTTGGGGAATTGCTGAGCTCAGGTGGCCCACAGTGATCACACAAGCATTTGGGGAATAAGCAACAACAGGGAAATCAGCTGTCCCAGTTATGCTAGCTGTGCCTTCTCTTAGGCTAGTCCAGGGGTGGCCAAACTTGCTCAACAGAAGAGCCACATAGAATAAACATCAGATGTTTGAGAGCCGCAAGACATGAACAAATATTACACACACACACTTTCATTTTAAAATATGCACATTTGCTTTTTATTAACATTAAATGAGACTGCTAAAAATAAAAACAGAAGGGGTAGAAACAGATATTGATAATGATATTTATTTGTCCAATGATATTTGTTTGCTAATGATATTTATTTATCTAAGAGAGAGAGAAAGGGAGAGAGGTGGAAAGAGAATGAAAGAGGTGGAAAGAAAGAGAGAGAGCGCCAAGAAAGCTAATAGATGGAAGGGAGGGGGAAGGAAGGGAGGAAGAAAAAGTATGCCTCCTCTTCGCTTCCTCAGCTGCCCTGCCAGAAGCCGCACAATACATGTGAAAGTCGCATGTGGCTCCCGAGCCGCAGTTTGGCCACCCCTGGGCTAGTCCAAAGTTAGAACCAGGCTTTGGTGTTATGAACATACAGTGTTTTGGGGGGTGGGAAGCAGGTGGGGGAAAACAGTTGCAGTTTCTCACCAAGCTGTACTTGGAGTGTAGGAAGGGGGATTGGGAGAGAGCGATTTAGAGAAGCAGAGCAGAAAGTTTCATATGTTTTCTGATCCAGCAGTGTCATTATAGTTGAAGTTCTGAAGTAGTGAGGGGAGGGGTTCCAGTGGAAAGAATGAGTCTCTGTCCAGTGATTTCAGTGGTGACTGAGCGATCCTGGGGAGGAGATGGAGCCTAATTTCTTCCTTGCCAGGATGCCGCTTTTATCCTATTTTTTCCTTTGGTTGTTCAGTCGCATAGTCGAGTCCGACTCTTCATTTACTACTTGGGGCTAAATCTTTTTGGTGGCATTTTTTAATCCTCTTTGCCATTGGGGGGAAAAGGCAGGATCCTGGCTCCTGTTGGCAGGTTTGAATTGTTAGAAAAAGGTAATAGGGAAGGAGAGAAGGATGATGGGTGAAGAGCAGGTAAGGTGGTTGCAAAGAGTGGATGAAGCTGGGTGGGATGACTGGATTACCTGAATGACAGTCCAGTGGCCATTAACAGATGCCAGGAGATGGGTGATGGCCCTGGCTTTGCTAATTGCTTAGATTTCCAGAGGAGTCTCCATAGTAAGGCAGATTCCTGGATGGGCCTAGAGAGCTGATTATTGTCCTGCAAACCTTGATCATTAATCATAGCCAGTGATCTATGCTCTGATCACATATATATTTGGGAGAGTGTCCCGGGGTGGGGTACACCCTGTGAATTAGTTTCTTAATTGCCAGTAGTCTGATCTTTATTTCTCAGCTTGAATATCAGGCAGTGGCAACAAACTTTCCAAGGTCTGAGGATTTAAGGAGGCAGTGGGGTTGGGTCTCAAGCGCATGTCTCCTGACTCAGGGCTGCTTTTAGGAAAACATGGAAATCACATGTTTGACTGTTCATCCATAGTTGGGGAACCCTCTTTGCTCATAGAAAGCTATTGTGTTGAAGGGCTAGCCCTGTTCCTGAAATAGCAGTTTCTAAGCTGCATGTAGGTCTTTTTTAAAAAAAAGCACATGGGACAGTTTTCAAACATGCAGTTCTCCATTCCTGCAGTCTGAAATGGTAGCCCTGTACCTCACTGTTCTGCCATGTTTGAACTGGGTTTTACTCAGCAGGCAATGCCGGCATTATGGTAAAGGAAGAAGAATTGCAGCACAACCCATTCAGGAGAACCACCACAGAGCCACTGAGTACCCTGAAGGAAAAAGGGCCACAGATGTTCAATGAGCATGAGAATACGAGACAACTAGAGCTCCGTCTTCCTGCAGGATCTGATCAGTACTGCAGTAACCCTTCTGGAGGTACGTGGGGGAGCAGCCGGCTATGATTAAAGTAAAAATGAATTGGGAGAGACATATACCCAGGGAGAGACCCTGTAATCCCTTTAACTTCCTCTGATCATTATCCCAAAATGTGTGTATCTGAGGCATAAAATTTTGTGTTTTCATAGCAGTCTTACTTATGCCTGAATTAAAGTATAAGAAATCACACTTTCACAGAGTCCGTTATTGTCTTTGGGAGCTGCCTGATTCTTTTGTTAGATAACTTTATGTTCTGAGAGGCTCCATCAGAGCCATCACTGTTTTTCTCTAGGCTTGACAGTCTTCTAGTCAGATTTAAAGCAAAATGTTACATTTACATAATAATCAGTACTATAGTAGCTCATCATTTCATTACTGTTTTATAGAATATTCTTCTGTGCGGAACCTTTACGGAGGCCGAATGACTGAAGATCGTCTCAGAGCTGTGTATAGCGCCACAACTGATGCAATTAACCAGCTCCACAAGTCCCTCAAGTCCTGCCCCATGGAGGAGGCAGTGACTGTGGACCCACCGGGACTGAAGGTAAAAAAGGAATGTTGTGGTGCCTGTAGTATGGCTGCTCCAATGTGCTGCCGTATTCCTTCTGCCAAAAATTTTTACATGAGTTTGTGTGACTAGAAGAAGCCAATAGAAATGGCTGAAAGGGTTTGTCTGCAGTCTTATAGATGAGAGACAGTGAGCCGAGTTCAACCCAGACAAAACTGAGAGAGTATTATCTGCTTAAGGACTGAGGAACCAGTGTATCCTGGAAGGAGTGGCATTGTCCTTGAAGGAACAAATTCATAGCCTGGGCTCAGGCCTTCTCCAGGGCACACAGTGCCTTTGATATCCCAGCTACAGCTGCTTCTCAAAAAGCATTAACGTGTCACAGTGATCTATGCTCTGATCACATCCAGGTTAGATTGCTGTAATGTGCTCTTGTGTAGGGCTACGTCTGAAAACTGGCACTTAAAATTGGTGCAAAATGTGAAGAGCAGGCTTTTGTTGGGGGCTGGGTACACAGGGTTCATATCACTCCTGTGCTGTAAGATCTGCATTGGCTGCCTGAAGGCCCTAAACTGCTTGGGGCCGGGGTACATGAAGGAGCTTCTCTTCATACTGCTCAGCCTGCCTGTTAAGACTGTCTTCCCGGGCCCTGTTCTCTGTGGCCCTGCCTGCAGAGATGAGGCAAGTGGCGACCAGAGGCTGTTGTGTGACATCTCACCTTTTGGAATGCCTTCTGCCTTGAGGCTTGCTTGGCACCAACTATCCTTTAGGCACCAAACCAAAATATTTACTTTTTAACCAGGATTTATTGATGGGTTGCATCTTTTTAAAAATGGGGTTTTAATAGTCTGTTTCTAGCCTGAAGACAGTTTTATTAATACCAGTTCAGGTTCCTGGACTGTTATTAATGATTGTTTTTTTATGTTGTTGGCCTTATGATTTTATTATGTTACTATTAACTTCTGAGTTGCCATGAGCAGGTTCTCTGGAGAGGTGACGTAGAATTTTTCTAAATAAGTTAATGTTACTCTGCCGTTATTTAATTTGCTGAATCAGGTTTCCACCCCTTCCCTTGCAGCCCATGAAGTATGCAAGACACAAAGTTCTTGGATTGTGTAATGTTTCTTTAGCATTTTCCCCTTGTGGAACTGCACAGGAGAAGTTCACCGTGGGCTATGCTGTTGATAAATTTAGAAGCCTGATGTCACTGAAAACTGAAAGAATTTCAAGAGCTAAAATCCTGTATCCATTTAGGAGTAAGAGGTACACCACCAGCAGACAGTTTTATTGGTGTTTCTGTTGGAGGAAATACCTGTGTCTGAGAAGTCTGCATTTTATTCCAATTATAATGAAATGTAGTTACAAATCTTGAATATAGAAACTACAGGTTACTTTCTAACCGTCTGGTCCAACTTCCTTAAATCCTTTGTGCCAAGTCTGAAGTATTGTTTACCTTTAATGCCTATGGAACTCTTTTGGTTGCCCTGCTTATTATAATGATTAGTTATCCCTCAGAGCTCAGCCATAAATGTCTGATTGGAGCCAGGTTTTTGTTTTTCTAATCTGGGGATTATTAAAAAATAACTCTAGAAAGGTCCTAGTCACAAAAAAGCCTCCTAGTAAATAAAGAATACAGAAGGTACACAGTCAAAAAGGAATTTTGAATGAATGTTCAGCATTGTTATTCTAACTCTCTGTAAAAAGTAGAGCATTCCAAAGAAAGGGGGGAAAGTGTATGGGCTGGATTTCATAATGGAAAAACTGCCCATGTGCATCTCCTACTGTATCGGTGCTGAATCTCATCATTACATGTCTGGGAGGACCACAGGTGACTTGCTCAAGAGGCAGCAAAATAAAGTGTTAATAAAAGAAGTAATCTGCTGTTGAAATGGTGATCTGAGTGCCATCTCTTGCAAATAGCAATGAATTCCACGTCCTGCACTCCCTTTCCCAGGTCTCTCTTTTGCTGCACCAGAAACAGGCACTAACTTGGCTCCTCTGGAGGGAGAATCAGCTGCCATGTGGAGGAATCCTAGGTAAGAAATTCCGGGTGTGTTTGGACAGCTCCTTTTCTGATAAAAGTAGCTTTCATTGTTTCTCAGGTGTCAAGCATGGCATGGAGGGTGCAGTAATCCATGGTATGGCCCTTGTCCCCAACCCAGAATGGGAGTAGGTTTTAATCTGAACCCTGAAGAAAAGGACATTTGGCCCATTTCAAATCTGCTGTCCAACTCTTTGGAGAGTTTAAAGGTTCCCTTATGGAAGGCTCTTACTGATGATTGGTGTTCAAATGTAGTTCCTAGAGATATAGCTAAAAAACTAGGTAGGCTGGGAGAGGAGACTCTGGCTAAACACAAGCCTCTTATGAACGCTGTGAAGTCGTGGAAGCCAGCTGGCCCAGAGAAAAGGCTGCTGTTGCTTCTGGTTTCCTTGTCACGTCTGCCATCTCAAAGCAGTAGAGCATAAAGCGCATAGTCTGTTGATGCCGGCACAGTCTTTCCAGCCCTGGCTGTGTTCTGGTCTGGGTGCCATGTTGCTTCTTCCCTTGGCTTCCTCATCCATCTGAATAGATAGGGTGCAGTATGTGATAGATCCACGTTCCTTTTCCCTTGAAAATGAGGCATCATAGACACATAATCAGCAATCAGACACTTTTAGAATTTCAGATGCCTGATTAGAGGCTTAAGAAATGCAGCAGTATTCATTCCCATTATGCTCTGATTTTGTTCTGTTCTATGCTTCCCCCCCCTTCTAGCGGATGATATGGGCTTAGGGAAGACTTTAACGATGATTGCGCTTGTCCTGACCCAGAAGCAGTTACAAAAGGAGAAGAAAGTAGAGATTTGCATGTCTCGACAAGGTACAGAAGCAGCAGCACTAGCAATTCTACTGCCAGTGCCTGTAGACTGGAGAAATTCCTGTCTACCAGTAACTTTTGTCTATGTGGCCAGTAAACATGGTGGACTGTTTCACTTAATAAAATATGTTCATGTATTATTCTTTATATTTGAAGATTCCTCTGTTATCTCTTCCAATGGCACTCTGATTGTCTGCCCTGCATCCCTGATCCATCATTGGAAAAAGGAAATAGAAAGGCATGTGAGCAGTGGCAAACTGAGAGTCTGTCTGTACCATGGACCCAACCGAAGCAAGAATACAGCCGTGTAAGTACAAAGCCACAAGGTAGTTCTAGTATAAGCATAATATCATAGGAAGCTTGACCCTGGACCATTGCTTCAGTGCACTCTTTTCCTGGACTTGTGGAGAAGAATTGGCAAAGAGAGATTGTGTGGCTTAGAGTGTGAGCTGAAATGATGACACTTCAGCATCCCTCTTGGCCAACGAAGCTGAACCAGTTTATATTTGTCAAACATCAGTCGTATTGCAGTTGGCAGTTTTGATCGATACCGACCAAGCAGGTGAAACCTCTTTCACTCTTAATAGTGGACTAGGATAATTCTGTGAAACATGTTCTCCTTTCTGGTAAAGTGGCGCTTGGAGTCGGAGTACAAATTCTGTACCAAAAATGGTGCTGTTCTATCTGTCTCGTTCTCCATATCTGAGATGTGCATGTTCACTCACCCTTCCAACAAGTCAAGCTTAGCATCCTTACTTTTCCTTTAAGGGGGAATCCAAATACAGGCATATTCAGGATCTTAGTTACTCATTGGGATTTAAGATGCATTTTTTCTTTAGTTCTTTGTGGTTGTTTTGGGATACCCTGCAACTCACCAGCTGTGTGTCTCCTCCTCGTTCAGCCTCTCTGGATATGACATTGTCATCACCACCTATGGCATCATAGGGAAGGAAATCCCCACACACGAAGCAGAAGAAGAGGTTGCTGCTAAGGACCATGTTGTGCAGGTAGGTGGAATATACAGATTAGTCTCAGGCATTCTAAAATACACTTGCATATTAAGCACCCTGTTGATTTCACAGACAATGCAGATGTTGTGTTGCTTTGGCACAGAGCAGCTACTAAATAAGCTCCTCACACTCTGCTCATTTTTGCTCATATTCTTGCTGTAACTGTAATGAAACACTCATCCAGGGCTGTTACAGTTTATAACTCACTCAGTTAAAGTCCTCTGAGCAATGCAGTGTGACAAGAAATAACTAAAAATGCTTCATAAACTACTACTTAATGCAAAACCATATTTAGAAGTCACAACTAAAAACAAATATAGTATTTGTGCTTAGCCACAACAACTTCAATTCCTCCGATCAGGGTTTTCTGCAGGTGCCAACCTGTGAATAGGGAAGATCAACAGCCACACGTGCATTCCCTATTGTGCCCCCCCACACACACACACCTTGTGGAATGGTCTGCCTGAGGAGTTCAGGAAGGTTCCCATACTTCTGTCATTCTGCAAACTATGTAAAACAGAATTGTTCAGGGGGGAATTATTATGAAGGTGATGGCTATATTATAATGGAATGGTTCAGGAAGGTGCTGCAATAAAGGAAAAGGGCTAGGTGACTGTATTACTCCATACACTACGTATTATCTGTTTACTCTGTGTATTATCTTGCTCTCACTAAATTGTGTTCTTATAATGCCATTTTCTGCATGGGTTAACCTATGTCTAATACATATGCATTATTTTCAGATTTCTGTAATTCTTTTCCTATTACATAGTTTATTAGATGTCTGATCCTATTGATTGCATTGATTTACACTATGTAAGCTGCCATGTATCTCTGTGAGCAAGTTGGATTATAAAGAACATAAATAAAAGAATGTAGATAAACCGAGGTACAATTTCCCCCCATATTAATGGCATGTTTTTAATTTAATGGGGGGGGGGATTGTAAGGTTGGAGTCAGTGCCCTAGCAGTTGAGGGCAGAAAGAAATCTGAAAACAGATGCAAAAAGAATTTAGGAGAAAATTCCAATGGCCAGGTAATGGCATTCTTCACTTACTGTGAAGCCCCTCCTCATGATGTCTTCACGTGTTTCCACAATTCTCAGTTTAAAAGAAGAGGAGATTGGATTTATAACCCACCCTTCACTACCTGAAGGAGTCTCAGAGCGGCTTACAATCTCCTCCCCCACCCCACAACAAACACCTGTGAGGTAGGTGGGGCTGAGAGAGCTCTTTCCATAACTGTCCTTAAGGGAACAGCTCTGAAAGAACTTATGACTGAATAAGGTCACACCAGCGACTGCATGTGGAGGAGTGGGGAATCAAACCAGGTTCTCCCAGATTAGAGTCCACACTCCTAACCACTACACCATACTGGCTCTCCAGAATGAGCCCCCCCCCAAAAAAAAAATGCAGCATTAAATCTGCAGTGAAATCAATTGTATAACTTGATTATGTGAATTAAATATCTACACATTTTGCTACACCTGTATATTTGATTCCACCCACAGTGAATTGCACAGTTTAGAAATATTTGGCACAGAATATAAATCTATGAAGCTGTAACAAGATTTGCTATCTGTCTTGTAGTTCAGTGTGCACATGGAAGCTGTAAAAGGTAAAAAGGATTCCTTTAAGCAGTGGAAAGCTAGTCACAGTGAGGCTGATAAAACAAAACACAGGCTATGGCAAATAAAATGCAAGTCTGTGGTCAGGCAGGCAAAAAGGGAATATGAGGAGCTTATTGCAAAAAACGTAAAAACCAACAATAAAACTTTCTTCAAATACATTAGAAGCAGGAAACCAGCCAGGGAGGCAGTGGGGCCCTTGGATGACCAAGGGGTAAAAGGAGTACTGAAGGATGATAGGGAAAGGGCTGAGAAGCTAAATGCATTTTTTGTCTCTGTGGAAGATGAGAAGTGCTAGTGCTTGCCCACTCCAGAACCACTGATTTCGGGAGGGGTGTTGAAAGACCTGAGTCAGATTGAGGTGACGAGAGAGGAGGTCCTAAAACTGATAGACAACTTCAAAACGGATAAATAACCAGGCCCAGATGGCATACATCCGAGAGTTCTGAAAGAACTCAAATGTGAACTTGTGAATCTCCTTACAAAAATATGTAATCTTTCCTTAAAATCTGCCTCCATTCCTGAGGACTGGAAGGTAGCTAATGTCACTCCCATCTTTAAAGGGTTCCAGAGGAGATCTGGAAAATTACAGGCCAGTCAGTCTGACATCGATACCGGGTAAATTGGTGGAAACCATTATTAAGGAAAGAATTAGTAAGCACATAGATGAACAAAATCTATTGAGGCAGACTCAGCGTGGGTTCTGTAAGGGAAGATCTTGTCTCACTAACCTGTTAGTGTTCTTTGAGGGGGTGAACAAACATGTGGACAAGGGGGATCCAATAGATGTTGTTTACCTTGACTTCCAGAAAGCTTTTGATAAAGTTCCGCCCCACTGGTGGACCTCCCGATGGCACCTGGGTTTTGGCCACTGTGTGAAACAGAATGTTGGACCGGATGGCCATTGGCTTGATCACACCTGGCTTCTCTTGTGTTCTCAGGACTTCTCCCTGTGGGTCGGTCTTCGGGTTTCACGGAGGCTTTCTTTGCCAGGCTTTGTGTTCAATCCATTTTAAAGGGTCTGGTTTAGCAGGAGAATTGGCATGATGTCAGAAGCTTTGAAACCAGTTTCCCCAATTTCATTATTAGGAAGGGCATTGAAAACAGATCAGCCAATATCATAATGCCCCTATATAAATCAATGGTGTGACCTCATTTGGAATACTGTGTGCAGTTCTGGTCACCACACCTTAAAAAGGATATTATAGCTTTGCGAAAAGTGCAGAAAAGGGCAACTCGAATGATAAAAGGATTGGAACACTTTCCCTATGAGGAAAGGTTAAAGCGCTTAGGGCTCTTTAGCTTGGAGAAACAACGACTGAGGGGAGACATGACTGAGGTTTATAAGATTATGCATGGGATAGAGCAGGTAGAGAAAGAAGTACTTTTCTCCCTTTCTCACAATACAAGAACTCGTGAGCACTCCATGAAATTGCTGAGCAGTCGGGTTAGAACGGATAAAAGGAAGTACTTCTTCACCCAAAGAGTGATTAACACTTGGAATTCACTGCCACAGGAAGTGGTGGCGGCTGAAAGCATGGACGGCTTCAAAAGGGAATTAGATAATCATATGGAGCAGAGGTCCATCAGTGGCTATTAGCCACAAGGTATAGATAGGGGCTCTGGGGCAAGTGATGCTCTGTCTTCTTGGTGCTTGGGGGGGTGGGGTCAACAGTGGGAGGGCTTCTAATGTCCTGGCCTCACTGGTGGACCTCTTGATGGCACTGGTATTTCTGTGTGACACAGAGTGTTGGACTGGATGGGCCTTTGGCCTGATCCAACATTGGCCTCTCTTATGTTCACATACATTCTTTCAACCTGTATTATTGAATCTCACTAAGTTGGCAAAGGTTAAATTTTTGAAGTATAAAATTGTGATTATGGAAGGAGGGAAAGAAACCCAATAAGAGAAAAAAATAACGGGAGAAAGAAAAGCTCCGTCTGGTTTACGTTCTCCTGCCAAATATGTAGATAACTTTAATATGTTTAAATAGTTTAGCTGATTTTCAGGGCCCACCCCCACCCCAATTACTTTAGCACAGTTCTATTGGTGGCTTTAGATTTTAAACCCAGATCTATTTTGTATTCTAGGATAAATCACTTCCCTTCTCTCCCTTGCTTTGGATAAACTGGGCTAGAATTATATTGGATGAGGCACACAGCATCAGAAACCCCAAAGTGCAGGGCTCAATAGCAGCCTGCAAGTTGAGAGCTACTGCCAGATGGGCTATAACTGGGACACCCATTCAGAACAACCTCTTGGACATGTACTCCCTGATAAGGTAAGTTGATCACAATCAGAAACTTTTAAGAGAACTGGCAGTGTAAAAGCTGTGTCTTAAACTAAGGGCTCATCACACATTACAGGGAAGACCTTGTTTGTCTTGTATCTCTGTGGTAAAAACTTGGGGAGAAAAGGTGCTTCCTTAAAAATAGGGTAAACATTTTACCCAGATGCTTTAGGTGGAAAGTATTGCCTCTCCCACCCGCCCTCAGTTCAGTGAGGTCCAGTGACAGCACTTCACCTGCCACTCTTGTTGTCCCTGTAGGTTCCTTCACTGCTCGCCCTTTGATGAATTCAAGGTGTGGAAGAGTCAGGTAGACAATAATACAAGAAAAGGAGGAGAGAGATTGGCCATTTTAACAAGGAGCCTCTTATTGAGAAGAACCAAGGACCAGCTGGACTCATCTGGCAAGCCTCTGGTAATAATTGTTCTGCCTCTTTTTGGATGTGAAAGGGAGCTGCACAATTAGAAAGCTAATGCAGTCTTAGGATGCATTAACAGAAGCATTGTGTCCAGATCACGGGAGGTGGTAGTTCCGCTCTATTCTGCTGTGGTCAGGCCTCACCTGGAGTACTGTGTCCAGTTTTGGGCACCACATTTTAGGAAAGATGTTGACAAGCTCGAGCGTGTCCAGAAGAGGTCAACCAGGATGTTGAGAGGGTGGGAATCCAAGTCTTATGAGGAAAGGCTGAAAGAGTTGGGTATGTTTAGCCTGGAAAAGAGAAGGCTTAGAGGGGACATGATTGCAGTCTTCAAGTATTTGAAGGGCTGTCATGTAGGAGATGGAGCGGATCTATTCTCTCTTGCTCCGGATTGCAAGACTAGATTTAATGGGTGGAAATTACAAGAGAGTCGTTACCGGCTAAATATCAGGAGAAACTTCCTAACTGTAAAAGTGGTTGAGCAGTGGAATAGTCTGCCTCGGGAGGTGGTGGATGCTCCTTTACTGGATGTTTTCAAGCGGAGGCTGGACGACCATCTTTCAGGTATGTTGTAGGTATGTAGGGCTTGCTTTCAGCTGTGCTCCAGCAGAGTGCAGGGGGTTGGACGAGATGACCTGCAAGGTCCCTTCCAACTCTAACATTCTATGATTCTGTGAAATAACCCCGTCATCCCTTTGCTAATGGCCAGCTAGTTGGTTTGATCAGAAGAGGCCCACCAGGCGTTTTGCACTGGGGTGTGTTTAGTTTTAAATCAATCAAGTGAAAAATCTCTCTTAACTGTCAACTGAGCAGCTTCACTTTGAAATTAGTAATAAGAGTTTGCCTCTAGTTTGGGACATTTAGTTCTTTGTAGGGACAAGTTGGCTGATACATACAGAGATTCTAACCAAAGGGATTTTAAATGTCCCACAATATTTGCCACTTTGTACTTCTACTGAGGCAGATTTTTGGCTGTCTGAAAACTTCTCTTTGACACCAGGCTGTAAAGGCTGGAGGCTAGGCATTATAACTCATCGAGATTTCTGGGCCCTGGGAAGTGATGACTCAAATGCGCCCTGTGAACCTTTCATAGGAGAAGTGATTTCACTCCCGCTCTTTAACATCAGCCAGTCATGATGATGCTCATTTTATCCACCTGGGTCTTCCCTCTGTCCAGGTCTCACTACCTCAGCGTCTCACTCGGCTGCACAGATTAAAACTCTCAGGAGATGAACAGTTAGTGTATGATGTGCTGTTCACACGATCAAGGTATGATGGTTTCTTGGAGGCCTTTCATAGCTCATTCCGTCTTGGCTATAGTTAACAGTCCCAGTGCTTATTATTTATTTATTTATTAGTTGCATTTGTATCCCGCCCTCCTCGCTCAGGGCAGCTTACATTGATTGGTAGAGTGTACCGAATCCACATAAAACATTTAAAACATTTCAAAAACAGTCATACAATTAAAGTGCTCACAGAATACTCATTCCTTCATTACATTAAGGTGGCGTGCTTTAGATGTAACACCAAAGTTCCCAACTCAGCAATCCCTCCTGTACTAGACTCTTCCTGATGTACTGTGCTGCTTCTGTTACTGACCCTTTCCTCAACTATCTGTGGCAAAAGTTGGCATATATGCAGCATGTCTCTGAAATACACCTAATTATATTCACACCCCACAAATAAGTGTTTTCCCTGTGCTTCAGCTGTTTTTGTAAGCCAAGCGTCTTGCCTTCTTGTTGAACTGAATCCTTCTAGACCTTCCTTCCATGGGGACAGGTCTTTCCTTAAATTCCTGTTAAAATGGTACTAAGTGTGCAACCCAAATATGCCTTGAAACTCAAAAGGCTAAGTGGAAGAGATGCTTAAATTGGCTCATTGCTATTGCCATTAACTGTTGCCATTGGCAGCACTTCACACACACACACAGTCAGGATTCTTAACCACGGCTTAATGCCACTTAGAGCTGATGTGGTGGTGTAATGGTTGGGGCGTGGTACTCGGATCTGGGAGAGTCCTGTCCGGATCCCCACACTGCCATGAAGGTTGCTGAGTGACCTTGAGCCAGTCAGTCTTTCAGTCTTAATCTACCTCAGAGGCTTGTTCTGAGGCTATAATAGAGGGCAGAATACTACCCTGAGCTCCATGGAGGAAGGGTGGGGTAAAAAGAAAAGGTACTAAAAATACTGGGGAGGAAGAGTGGGATAAAAAGGTACTAAAACTACTGGGGAAGACACTAACAATTTATTAAGATTCCAGTGTTGAAAAATTGCAGCTAATTTGAATTAGCTGAAGACAACCAAGGGAAAGGGCTGTGGGCGGCTCAGTGGTATATCATCTGCTTGGTAGGCAGAAGGTGCCTAGGTTCAGTTTCCAGTGAAAGGGATCAGGTGGTGGCGAATGGGAAAGACCTCCACCTTAAGACCCTGGAGAGCCACTGCCACTCTGAGTAAACAAAACTGATCTGAGTAAACAGTACTGATCTTCATGGGCCAAAAGGTCTGATTCAGTACAAGGTAGTTTCATGTGTTCAGCCGTCTCAATTTCAGAGTTCTGCACAGGAGGAGGAGGAGGAAAGAGGGCACATGAGCTTGGCAGTTAACCACGTTTGTCCCTTAAGCACTGTTGATGGTAGCCTGAATTGCTTTTTTGTGTTAAAAAGTTCCTGTGCAGTTTGCGCAGTTAACTCCTATGGACCAGTCATTCTGTCTCAAGGGGCTTGTTTAAGATTCATAATTTGTTAAACTGCATTTGCAATAAATCTCTAAATCTTGTTTAGTTAGAATGCAGAGATTTTTTTTTAAGCAACTATGCTGTTGTCTACTTATGTGACCATTTCTTTGTGTTGCACTTCCAATTGTTCACGGTTCTCAGCTTGTATGTATAGAAAATGAAACTCTGAGTGGACAAATCTATTTTTTATTTTAAAAAATGTGCTTTGTTTAAACAGGTCAACACTGCAATCCTACCTCAAGCGGCAGGAGGCTCAGTCGACAGAGCACACAACGGATAACCCTTTTGAAAGAGGTTAGAATTCTTAGGCTATTTGTCGAAATGCATTGAATGTGATGGGGTAGTTGTAACTTTACACTGTTTTGTTGCCATGTTCATTTGTCTGCTCATTAGAAGATCCTCGATAGCAAATGTTGGCAAATTCTGCTCTAGAAGAGCCCTCATTAGTTACCTCTCTCGTTGCTCTTGGCTAGTGGCACAACAGTTTCGAGATGGTCAGCAGGACTCCATGGGAAAGACTCACACAGATACTCCTCCGGTCTCCACTACTGTTCATATATTGTCCCTCTTGCTGAGGCTCCGTCAGTGTTGCTGCCATCTTTCTTTGCTGAAAACGGTAATTATAAAAGGGTCCTTAAGAGCACGGGTTGCTCCTGAGGCAATGTTACCCTGCTGCAGAAGCTGCTGACTGTGTTCTCTTCGTTGCAGGCTCTGGAGCAGGCCAGCCTGGACAGTGAAGGCATCTCCCTCTCACTGGAGGAGCAGCTCAGTGCTATGACCTTGTCTGAACCTGACAGCAGTGACCCCCGGTCTGTGGTGTACCTCCTTGGTTCACCTTTTGGTGTGGATCTTTTTGAAATCACTAGACAGAGTACCAAGGTATTGAGACTGTAGCACTCCCTTTCTAGGGAAGCCTAGTGATTATTCCCTGGCTTTCTTCCCCACCATGTATTTTTACGAACAAGCTATAAAGCTATATTTCAATGCTGAAAAAGGGAGAACCAATATTTTTGTACTATAGAGCCAGACTTATACAGGTACCTTAATGAAAAGGAGAATCCATTGTTAAAACACAGTGAGAGCTGTTTATGTTGCGTATAATTTCACAGCTACTTAACCACCAGCATAATGTTTGTATTTACTACGTTTTTATCTTGCCCTTCCTCAAAGGAGCTCAGCAATGTATATCAGTTTCCCTGCCTCCGTCTTGTCCTCCCAACAACCCCGTGAGGTAGTTTTGGCTAAGAGTGTGTGACTGGCCCAAGGTTGCCCAGCAAGCTTAAAAGCTAAACCTGTGTCTTTCCAATCGAACACTTTAACCACTACACCAAGCTGGCTCTCTGTCTTTTAAGCTTCAAGAGTAATTACTTATGATATCAGAAGAGAAAGTACATCTGTTTCAATCAAAGGGAAGACAGCCCAGAGCAACTGAAATATTCCAATTAATGCAGCACTCATTTCCCCAGCTTAATTGGTGGCGCAGAGAAGACGAATGTAATTGCACAGAATGTTTAATTGATGAAATTGCCTTTTAAAGGCATTCTGAATGGTGTGTATTTTTTTTTTTAAATTGCCACCAAACTTCACTAACTTGGCCCCTTGCTCTTCATTACATAAAAAGCACTTAAATGGGCTTAGGCACCAATATTTGAGCCAGTAGTATTGTATCATATGGTGTACGCCACTGAAAAATGCCAGAGGGTACATCAAGTCTGACGCTGGTAGATATCTTTGGAAGAGTTTGGTATTATTGAAACTTAAGCATTAGGTACTTCTTGGGCTGATTCTTCACCTCTTTGCTTCCTTGTTAAAGCAATCGCTAAAATCCCAGCACCATTTTGCTGTAACCACAAGTTGGACTGCTTACAGGATCAAAGTGGAAGTGCTTCAGAACACTGCACATTACATCCTTGCAATCATTGATGCCTTTTTACATTTTTAAAACTTGCAAACTTAGATCAAACTAGGTGCATTGCTGCTCAGTTTCAATGTTTTAATTGCTTCATTAAGCAAGGCAGGCAGGCCCACTTTTCATTTAAGTTCACACAGTGCTTCCCAGAAATTTGTGTAGGAGAGTGACAATTACTCCAGAATCTCCTGTGTTTACATCAGAGAGAGACTGAAGTTACAATCCCAGGTGCAGTTACTTATAAATAATCACTACTGAATTCAGAAGAACTTACTGTTGAGTAGTATGCATAGAGTTGGATCATAAGTCTCCTCTTTCCCCCCCAACTTTCTAGTTATCGCATCTCTTGGAGGAGCTAAAGGCCATCCAAGGTCAGTCCCAGAAGAGGTAAGCATAGTTGTACCAGGTTACCTCCTGGGCAGTATTGTAGGTTCGGGTTGGTTGGTAATAAAATATACAAAGAAAGGTGAGGCACTGTCTCATGTAATTGTGTTGCCTGTAGCAGCAATATGGGCTAATCCAGGTTAGCTTGAATGGGAAATTGCCCAGGTATGTCAAGTACACTAATGTGTATATATTAGAAGAGTGAGGTATAAACAGTAGGGTTTGCAGTCCATGTATGTATGCTATTAAAATGCCTTGGAGTTCAAGTATAAGAAGAATGGAATCCTTGAGTATTCGTAAGCAGAAATATGGATCCCACTGGACAGGTGATGCTTGTGTCTTGTGTTGCCCCCAGGGCTGTAACTCAGACTTGCATGTTCTTTTCTCCTGCCCTTGCACGCTCCAGGTTGGTCTTTGCTTTTTGTTTTGTGGCAAACCTTCGTTTGCTGTTACATTTGAATCCACTGTAGTTTGCTCAGCTCAAATATAACAGCAAGCATTTGTTGCAAATGATGGAGGAGATCAGAGGGGAGGAGGGAGCACACAAGCCTAAGTACCATTCAGGTAATGTTGGACCATACTTTGCATGTTGCATTGAGGCAAAAACTAAAATACCGTCTCCTGTCTTTCTAGTGTTGTTGTGTCTCAATGGACTAGCATGCTGAAGGTTGTGACAGTCCACCTTGAGAAGCTCGGCCTGAAATATGCCACAGTAGATGGCTCTGTGAATCCAAAGCAAAGGATGGATGTGGTTGAGGAATTCAACAGAAATCCTAAAGGACCTCAGGTACGGAAAAGGCCAGAGAAGTTTTTTTTTTCCCTCAGTGCACCTGCTGTTAGATTCAGTAGGTAGTTGCTGTTGTCACTATGCCAGATCCATAACTGCCAGATAGGATTAAGCCAGTAGTTGTTTTAGCCCACTGTTGTGTCTGATCATATGTAATACATGTGAAGAAGAGTGTTTTTCTGAAGGGCTCAGATTCTTGAACTGAACAGTAACTTCAGTGATTCCTGTAGTGAATTCAGTGCTCTGAAACAGCAAATCAAAAGAAAAGGATGTACAGGTGATGCGAGTGTTTTTCTGAAGGGCTCAGATTCTTGAGGTGATGCAGGCTTTGGTCAGGGCTTTGTAGGCTTCATATCTGATGCTGGGCACAAAATCCAGCTTTCCAGGAATCTGTTGTAAAAATAAATCTCTACTGAAACCAAACTCAGGAGAAATGGTGGATCTGGGTTGGGAGATGAGTAACTTTTTTCTCTCCTCTATTTTAGGTGATGTTGATCTCCCTCTTGGCTGGAGGCGTTGGCCTCAATCTCATTGGTGGAAATCATCTCTTCCTCCTTGACATGCACTGGTAAAGATAAGGGTAGTTTTGTCTTCTGCTACAAAAGCTTTCCAGAGAGATTGTCACTACAACTGCAGAAATCAAAATGGATTAGGTTAAGGAATTCATGAGTTGATCTGAAACACTGAGCTGAGTATGTGGACTGTCATTTCCGCTCCCAAATGTATCTGTAGCTTAAGCAGAGTGACAAGACAGTTTTCTTTCTTTTCAGGAACCCAGCTCTAGAGGATCAAGCCTGTGACCGTATTTACCGTGTAGGGCAGCGAAAAGATGTTGTGATCCACAGGTCATACTTTGCTCTATGTTTTGTGTCTGTTTAAATTTATGGGAGTTCTGGATTTGTTCCAGGAAGGGGCTGAAGTACTGCAGAACCCCTTCTGGCCTGCTTCCTTGTGGGGTTCTTATCTGATTCCAGCGCAGTTCTGCTAAATCATTTAAACTGCTCGAACAACGAGGCCTGACAAAACTTGTGCTAATGTAGCACATTTGGTTTCTAGGTTCGTTTGTGAAGGGACAGTTGAAGAAAAGATCTCGGACTTGCAAGCCTCAAAAAAAGAGCTGGCCCAGAAAGTGCTGTCAGGAAGAGGCGACTCCTTCTCAAAGCTCACCCTGGCGGATCTCAAGCTTCTTTTTGGCATTTGACCATCACATTTTGAAGGAGAAGGAAACGTGTGTATGTGCCTTGAGAAGTAAATTAAGGATCCATAAATAAAGTGACTGAGTCAAACTTTTGCAACTGTGTTGTCATCTTGTTCTTTGTAAGTGTATTTTTCAGTAGGAGGAAGGGCTTGCGCACCTATGATAAGATTAGTAAGGAGAAGAAGAGGGGGAAATGCTCCAGTTTTAAATAGATCCCAAGCTTCCCCAATTTTTTTGACCCTTTCTACTTTTCCTTTCAGTTTCCTCCCCACGTGTCCCCTCATATCAGAGAAATTACCCCTTTTAAAGTTAAAAATGGTTGTGTGAGTCTTTTTGGCCAATTCTCTATTTGTACAAATGATGAACTCAACAACATTATGATCACTGTTTCCAAGCGGTGCAATCACTTTTACATCTCTCACCAGGTCTTGAGTGTTACTTAGGACCAAATCAAGGATCGCCTCTCCCCTGGTAGGTTCCGTGACCATCTGCTCCATAGCACAGTCATTTAGAGTACACTTCCACCTACTAAATATAGTCAGCTGAGTATTCATGAATTTGCGGTTGTATTAGATGGTGAGAATGAGAGCCAAGCTAGATGTGACAACATCCTTGTGGCTGCCACGAGTACATCACTGCCATTTAAAATAATTTCAACATGTCACAAGGGCCCCCACAACTGTTACAGCACTTGAAAAGGCACCGGGGTGGGGTGGGGGGGACACAAGCACTGCATTGTGAGCCTGATCAAGATTGGGCCCCTTACAGCATTTTTAAATGACTTCAAAATAGCAGTGGCAAGCCACAAGGACACTGTCACACCTAGTTTGGCCCTTAGTACTCACTAATACAAATTTCTGTCCAAATGAGCACCTACCTAAGCCACTAGGCAGTTTACAGTATTCTCCTCCCCTCCATTTTATCCTCACAACAACCTTGTGAAGTAGGTTAGGCTGAGAGTGTGCAACTGACCCAAGGTCGCCCGGTGAGTGTCCAGGGCAGAGTGGGGATTCTAACCTGGGTGTCCCATTTCCATATCTGACAGGATAACTTATTATACAATCAATACTGCTCAAATTTAAATAAAAAGATTGAGGGTCAGAACTGGGGATGTTGTACAGGAACCAAGCACATCTAATTCACCCCACGCCTTCTGCAGAAACAAGACAGTGAAACTGGGAGCAATGGGGCAAAAATGACAACTGAGGCCGCAAAAGCTAGTGCCCACAAATGGGTTTTGTTAGTCCTTAAGGTGCAACAGGATTGTCCTGGTTTTTGCTGTTCCAAACTAATGCGGCTACCCTCTTGGCATTTGTTCCCATGTGAGCCATGTTGGTCTGTAGCAGCAGAATAAAAGAGAAGTGCAGTGGCACATGAAAGACTAACCAAATGTTTATTCCTCTTGTAACATTTCCCATGGAAACCCTTAAGTTTACCCCACCACTGCACAATGGCTAAACAAGATATGGGAGTATCTTGCTATGGATAAAACGTCTGATCAAGTACCTACAGTTGAGAATCTGACTCACCATCCCATCATCTTAGAAAAATGGTTCCCTTTCCTCAAGTATATCAAGAGAAACACTAAGGCAAACCAGACCGTTCCCGAAAAAAATAATGTTTTCTGTGTACTAATGTTAATTCACCTGTATTTTATTCTATCACTGCTCCTGTTTATAGAACTTCCTGTGCTTCAGCTTATCTTGTTAAAAATTTTAAAAAATATTTAAAAAAAAAATTCCCAGCAAACCACACGTGTTCAGCCGTGAAGACCATGTTCTATCACTGCTCCTGTTTATAGAACTTCATGTGCTTCAGCTTATCTTGTTAAAAAAAATTTTAAAATATATTTTTAAAAAGAATTCCCAGCAAACCACACACAGGGTGTTCAGCCGTGAAGACCATGTGCTAAAATGTTCTGAAGAGCTTTGGTTGTGAAGCTGAAACAGGCCTCCTCCCCTGCCTTTCCTTGTCTCTTGAGCCTAATTAAGTCATGTGGAGACTAAAGGAAGCGAGGGGGGGGGGAATAATGTCCTTTTCAGTTTTGCTGCTGCTCCCAGCCACACCTGTTTCACCTGCCAAGCTTTTTTTTAGTATTAGAAACATTAGTTTTTGAAGAAAATAGTACACAATTTTGCAAGTTAGAAAACAGAAACATGAACAACCAAAGAATTTACAACTGTTAATACATAATAATAATGCAGATATAATAACTAATACTATGTGTAGAATCTATAACATTTATCTTAAACTGTGAGGTACTGTAACAATATACTATACAAGTGTCACTCTGCATTAGAATACATCCCCTTAACAATGATACAAAAAAAGTTTCAAATCCATTTGTGAAATTGAGACCATTCAGGTGAAATAAACTGTTGTGATAAATAGTCCAAAACTGGGAACCATTTTCCAGTGAATGATGCATGTAGTGACGAGTGAACATTAGAATGTATTTGAACTGAGACAATCCATAAGGAAATGAGACCATAATTTCCTGTATCATAACTCAATGCTTGTTGGTTTTGCGTCTTTCCAGTAGGATGCTATAGCAGTCTTGGCAGCATTCAACATGACATCAATAGTGGATTTATGTGGTCGATCAACTAGATCTTTAGGCCAAGAGTTTAAAAATAATGTTTCTGGATTGAGTGCGACATTGATTAAAGTTATTTTGTTAATTACTGATAATACCTCCATCCAAAAGTGCTTAATTTTCTCACCAACAATGGGCAAAATTTCCGATTTGATGACACCCCTTCCAGCAGTAAGGTGAGTTCTTTGAAGAAATATAGGAAAGTTTGTGTGGTGTGGCATACCATCTTGTCATAATTTTTAGGTTCTGTAGGCGTACTGTCATTACTTTAGAATTATTTACCTTGGAAGACCATAACTGATCCCAGAATTCATCTGTAAAAGGTGTCACAGTCTCCCTGCCATGAAGCTTGATAGGGTAATGGTTTAGTGCACGTGGCTTTGATCAGAAGTGAGTAAATAGCAGATATTAGACCCGCATTCTGAGAAGGAACGTATTATATGTTCCAGGTCTGTTAGGGGTGTAGTTAGGATGTTAGGAACATCTAGTTGATTATACATATGACTTAACTGTAAATTAAAAAAACGGGATAGGTTGCCCAATTTTTTTGTCCAAATCAGTTTTATTCAATATACCATTTTTTGTGCCTATATCGATAAAACGTGTTAGTTTCTTTTCTCTCCAGAAATTGGCTAATTTAAAATCTTCCAGGCAGGAACCATTTTTGATTGAGAAAAGTGGAATATCTGGATATTTTAGGAAGGAGTTTATTTGCATTTCTCTTCCAACATTGGATTGATGGACATAGTAAATCTATAGAGGTACAAGCCCATTTCTGCCAAGCTTCTTAAACATTTTGTCCAAATGGATTTCACTGTCTATGCTGTCTCTGACAAGCAAGTACATTAGTTAGACAAAAACGGCATCTGTAGAGGATGGGTGAATTACAGCAGTGAACTTGGTGTATCTTCCTCTCGGAGGGTTGCCTTTTGACATTTGCCTAATGAGTTCTGAGCAGACCTGCAGCTCTTCCACTCTGTAAACTGCCAACCAGACTCTAATAATAATATTGAAAGCAGGGCTTGCTTTACCAAGCTGCAAAATCGCTATCTTACAGCCTATGTTTTTGTGTGAAAGTAAGTGTTTAACCTGTTTGATTTACACTGTGCAGGTCTATCTTTCATGGCATCTAATTGATGCTCTGAAACTCACATTCTGATCTTCTGAGAAAAATTCTGGTCAAGAGTGACCAATCTGGATGCAAGCAAAGTTAGCTGATGTAAGCAAAGCGTATCTGTGAGATGTGTATTGGGGCAATGCAGTGGCATTTAGAATGGGGTTAATAATTCAACAAAGTTTAAATTCAATTAAATAAATCCTTGTAAGAGAGCTATTTAAAGTTAGCATTTCAGTTTGGTGTTGATTACTAGTAAATGTGTAGAAAGCTTTTTACTCAGTTGTCAGGATGGCCGAGCGGTCTAAGGCGCTGCGTTCAGGTCGCAGTCTCCCCTGGAGGCGTGGGTTCGAATCCCACTTCTGACAAGAAATGTTTTCTTAATTACTGATCTGGGTCTTTATATAAAAAGCTACAATGTTATATTAACGGAAAATAACATTAGGATTTTAAGTACTTTTACACCCTCTTAAATCTGCAGGTGTAGTGCTTAGTGCTTACAAGTTGCAACAGGTCATGATCTAAGAATGGGTCGCTGTCAGCTGTTCTCACCGGTTTATGCTGACAGCCACAGGGGTCCGTCCTTTAGTTTCGGTGGCGCCTTGAAGTGCCCCGTATCCCTGTAGCAGAGACAGCGATCAGTGATAAAATATCTGTAATGATGCACCGAAGTATAGTCGAATTTGCAAATGGCTGAACAGCAGGTTTTACTTCCTTTGCTGTCATCGCGTTAACCCTTTATTGGCGTATTCTTCCGGTGATCGTGAGATGCTGGGCAGTAGTTCAAGTTCGAGACTTTTTAGAGATGCATAGAAGAAGAAAACTTCGCTGAGTGCACAAGTACAGCGTGAAATATCACTTGGCGTAGCTTGCATTGCATATTATTTGTGAGATAGGAGTCTTTTTTCAGACCTTGCCTGGGTTTTTTTAAGGATTTTGTTTCAGGTTTACCTATATGCGCGCGCGTGTGTAAAATCGCCCCCCCCCCGTCTCATTTCTCTGTTGCCTTCCTCTGTGTGGAGACCCGTGACTTCTTTGGTGGTTTCTCATCCCAACACTAACCAGGACAAATCTTACTTAGCAGCCGAAACCATCTGGTTTGTGAGGTCGATCTTCCCTTAAATGTTTGTTATGTTGGCTGCAGATGCACAATGGGTAGGAAAGACACTCTGAAGCGCCGACAAAGAGGGACCCCTAAGCAGGTGAAAAGGTGGCTGCTGAGCCCTCACCCTGACCACTGTGTCACCAGCCCTGAAAACTACATGAGAGACTGCAGTGGAGGGGAGGGGTATTATTTAATTTTTTATTGATTTGAAGGG